ATTTTTGTCATTTACAAAATTCGACATACATAAATCCAAACACTGAAATCTTCAATTGCCAGAAATTGAAATGACGGAAATCTAAATTCCGTCATTTTAAAATTCTATGTAATTTGTAATTCCTTCATCCAAACGGAGCATTAAAGTATTGTATTTAGTATTGTATACCTTTAGATAGTATAGCCGTCCGGCTACACTCCTTAAATATAATATTTTAATAGTATCGCCGACCGGCTATACTCCAAAATACTATATTTAGAATATTTTAAAGTACCACCAGTCAGCTATACTCTAAAAATATAGTATCTTAACAGTAGAGCCACACGGATATACCCCGAAAAAGAACATTTTAAAGTATAGCTGCACGGCTATACTTTCTAGAAAACTAAGAAAACACCTCTCCTGACGAATTTCCGTCGGCATAGGTCTTTGCAGGCAAATTTTTGTAGGATTCGAGGCTTGCGAACGGTTTTGGACCAAGTTCGGATAAGTTCGAAGGCTATGGTTTTTGTTTTGAGACTTGGATTTTTGGTTTGGAGACTAAAATTCCATTTTTAGAACACTAAAAAAAATTTCTAGAATTTTCAAATAATTGAAACTATTTTAAAATAATTTTAAATTCCACAAAATTCTTTAAGATCATAAAATATAATTAATATCAGACCAAAAAAATAATAATAATTCATATTTATTAAGTAATTTTTATGAAATTAATTGAAATATTTAAATACTAATTCTTCACTAAATAAATAAAAGTAATTAAAACATAATATATTCAACGGCTATACCTTTAAAGTATTCTATTTTATATTCTATACCTTTAAATAGTATAGCCGTGTGGCTATACCCCTGAACTATAATATTTTAACAGTATAGCCGACCTGCTAAACGCCAAAATATTATATTTAGAATATTTTTACGTACAGCCTGTCGGCTAGACTCTAAAAAAAAATATAACAGTAGAGCCGCACGGCTAGAATATTTTAAAGTTACCCTGCAGCAAATTAAGAAAACACTTCTCTTGACGAATTTCCGTCGACATAGGTCTATGCCGGCAAATGTTTGTCGGATTAGACTTCTGCCGATGAAATTCCGTCGGGAGAGGTTTTTTTTTTTAATTTTTAAAATATAAAATTAGTTTCATTAGTTTTGTTTTTTTGGCCAACTTCTTTAATTTAATATATGTGATTAAGTAATATTTTAACCTTTTTGAATTACTTTAATTAGTGATTACGTATTAATTATTATTTCTTTATTGAATATTTATATATGTTATTTATTTAATTCTAATGTGAATATTTGAATATTTAAATAGCCACCACAGTCTTGGTGCCCTCAACCTTATGAATCACCGAACATGCAAATAAATGACAAAAGTGTTTGATAAATCACCAAGTAAACATGGAACACTTGATGATTTATCTTAAATAAAACTCAGCTTTCCAAAATTTATGGACTGAAAATATGATCATGAAAGCTCTCTAAACAAAGAAGACAAAGGTCTTATTTTATAGAACTTTTTCTTCTCTAGGAAGAAAAGTCCACGTCCAACACAAATTCAAGTATTTATGAATGTTTGTCATTGACTTAGCTTAGGCTCCAAGTATTTGTGTTTCCTTGCAAAGCTATGTAAATCTAGTATATATATATATATATAGATATCGAGTTTTTCTATTTAAACTCCATACTTTCTTAGTTCACTCATAATACTTAATCATTAAGCTCTTAATTTTATTATTGTGTAAAAAGACAAAAAAAGTCATCCAACTTAATACTTGACCCCAGTACATCTATACGCACACCCCACCACTCTTCATACTAAGTTTTAGAAAAACACAAACTCGTCTACCAGTGGCAGACTTGTGTAGGCGCAAGGAGGTGCCATGTACCTCTAGTCGCCAAAAAACTCCATAATAGCTGCTGGAGTTGCACCTCTACTCAGACCAGAGACACATGTGTAGGGGACTTTTTCTTTCGGCAGCTATAAGTGGGCTGGGCTGCCGTAAATGGCAGACTGATGAAATTGTCCCCTTTGTCTGAGTTCGAAAATTAAGCCCCAAAAATGCTTCGAAAGGGAAGCAGAGCCTTATGAAGTATTTTGGTTACCTCCACCTGCCAAAACGATAGCAACTTACAGGTAATTTATGCATGCTTACAGATAAACTTTTGAGCTTGGCATGAGAGGCATGTGGCATGGAAGCAAAATTAGCATGAGTTGAGCACCAAAAAGGAAATATGGCTTCCTAGGGAGAAAGAGGAGTGTTTAAGGTGAGGAAGAAGAGGTTTGCAAGCATAAGTGGCTGAGAAGAGGAAAAGAAAGAACTATGTTCTTTCGGCAGCTTGCCAGAAGACGAAAATTAGGAAGGAGGGTGAATAGTGCACGAGGTTGCTGGGTTTTTGCAGGTAAGAGAGGAAGCTTGCTCTCCAGGTGTGGGTTATTTTTGTTGAGTAGAAGATGCCTCATTTTATAGGCGCTGGAAACCATTACTTCCCAAGAAACCCTAATGGCTTCTACCCATTTTGGCCAAACTTTTCCCTTCCTTTCTCATCTCCTTCCTTAACTTTCCTTATCTTAGTAACATTTCCTCTGCCTATTTGCACAAAATCAAAGATATTTTGGAGCTCAAGGCCCCTTTCCTGCGACTGTTTCAGTGGGAGATTTCCATTCCCAGCCATCTTCTTCCTTTCTTTCCTCCTCTTTTCTATGGCCAGGTCTAATGGGGGAAGGAATTGGGGTATGTATGCTAGTTCGAATAGTGCTTCTCTTCCTGGCAGACCGGATGCTTATGAATTATTTTATTTCTATATTAATAGATTAATGAGATTAATTAATAGAATATTAAATAATAGAATATTAAATCCGGTAAGAAGATAAATTCGAGCCCTTCAGTCTGTCATTATACCTCGAGAAGTAGAAAGAATTACAATCCCCATTCCGCCGACGTTAATATCTTTTGGTTTTTCGGGTGTTTTGTGCTTGGAAATTGTTCCTTCCCATGTGCTGGAGCCTTTCAACAGCTCTGCATATATGGACACTTTGCTCCCTACGTGGCTTTTGTTTCTTTTAGCAAAAAGGCTGATGCTTTTGCTGCTTCTTACCTCCAATTGTGTGGACCTTTAAAGTAGCAAGTCAACCTTCCAAACAAATGGGTTATCTTCATCTAACATTGGGCTATATGGGTTAATTTTAGTGGATCATTTTGCTTGGGCTTTTTGGTTGGACTATTTTCCCATTTTGTGCTCACCCATATGTTTGGGCCTAAGAAATGGGCTTGGGTTCCAAGTCTCCCAAGCAACCCGGAACCTCCACTTCTCTGTTCATCAATGGGCCTCATGACAATTTATTATCATCCATAGCACAACCCACTCAAGCAAGCCCCGAGCATTCGAGTGGCTTGGGCCCACTTAGGCTTGTAGCGTGGTTGGGTGTGTAATAATGATTTCCTGCTTGGCATGACATGTCGCTTGGCATGGCATATCGCTTGACATGCTTTTAATTATTATGTTTGACGAGATAATTAGCATGGATTTGCAAAGATAATGCATTTTATAATCTTAATCTCGATTCCTAGCATGACGGATTATTTATTTGGCATGGTGCGTAGAGTGTGATTCATGCATGACGGACTTTTGTGTGCTCTAAGTCGGGTTTTTTCTCAATAAGGTATTGTGCTGGGCCGAGAATTCATTTGGGCCAAGCCGTTGATTTTTTGGGCCTAAACAGCATGCAATCTGTTCGATGAAATGTGCAAATGACTTACGCTACTGCGCGCTGGCTTCTTTGTTTTTAATTTTTTTTATTTAACAAAGCCTGGCCAAAATGACGTCGTTTTGGACCAGGCACTACTTTTTTTTCTTTTTCTTTTTTTAAAACTTGGCTGGTTTTTTAAATATATATATATATATTTATAAGAAAAAAAAAAGAAAAAAAAAAGAAAAAAAAAAGGGAAACTGCTGGGCCATTCGTGGGCTTCTAAAAGGGCTTTTATAATTCTTGCCTAATTGGGTTTTAATTGGGACTTCTCTTTATTTAATTGGGTTTTGTGAATTCCTTATTTAAGTGGGATTGAGAATTCTCTTTATAAAAAAAAAAACCAATTTAACATCACCCAATTTCATCAAAGTGTGTGTGCATCACAAGAATCCTACGTTTTTTTTCCCTTCTTGAGTACGCCAATCCAAAGAAAGTCGGATGCATATATTTTTTTTTCTTGAGCAAACACCAATTTTGTTTATTCTTTTTTTTAATTTTTTTTTTTTTTCTTATTTAGCTCTCTCTGTATTAGTAAGATCATTAGCAAACTCTTTTTTTATTATTTAGCTCTCTCTGTTAATTATGAATTAATATTAGTATTGTTTAAATGATATTTAGTTTTTTTTTTTTTTTTTTTTTTTTTTTTAGTTTAGAGCTCTTAGATTTTAAAAATTGCACCTCTGCTGAAAAATTTCTGGGTCCGCCGCTGTCCTCTACACCCTATTGCTAGATTACTCCTCTTTCAATCCAAGAAACCTACTACATTCTCATCTTCCCTTCACAAAATTTGAATTAGAAGGGTAGTTTGGGAAGATAGTCGGGTTTTCTTAGAAATTGTGAAAATTTGAATTAGAAGTTGGGGTGAACTTAGAATGTGGGATGAACAAAGAGAAGTGCAAGGTTTAAATAGAAAAACTCTATATATCAAGCCTTTTAGGCTAATTAAATCAATATAGAAAATTATTCCCACAATTTTATTTACCGATTTAAGAAAATGGGGGTAGCATATCCTCTCCCAAACTTATCACCCACATAGTTTGGTGTTATAATTAGTTTGTAAACAAACTAAAGAAATAGTAAAAAAAGAAAATCTTCCATAGAAAAGCTAGAGATGAAAAATCTTTCATTATCAGATCATCAAGTATCTAGTTAAATTCATTACCGAAGGATGATAATAAATTTTATTCAAGTAAACACATACTGGGAAAACAAATTTAAATACATTTATTCTTGAGTTCCTTATTAATTAAAGTAGCACGGGTTCACTTTGTTTAAATATAGACGTGCAAGAGAACGTGGATGCAAATATGTCCTTGAGAAGGGGAAACTGCAGGAAAACATATAAAAGCACTGGCACACCTGCACATCCAGTTACGAGAATAGAGAAGACGTCCTTACCACAGTAAGCAATAAAAAAAGCCGAGCTAAATGTAATCATCATGGCTGTAATAGAAAAGAAGAGCAATGCGAGTCCCATTTTCAACCGCCATGATAAGGCACTAAGAAAATCTCTTTCAGCATAGCGTGAGGTGAGGATGGCCGAGAACGTTAACGTTGCAGCTAAGGCCAACAAAAATGCTATTGCATCTGAAATGATGAAAATTCGAAACGGGGCCGTTTTAACTGGATGATTTCCCATAATAACAGTAACTTCTGCCGCAAATAAAGCACTAGCGATGAGGGTTGATACGATTGTACATGATTGTGCTGTCCCGTTCATCCAGGTCTGTCCATCTTTTAACAGCGTTGCATGTTCAGAAGTGAATAATTCTTGAGGTGTTTCGCCTTTTGAATTTTTCATCTGTATATAAGAAGGTTGAACAATCTTTTTCACCTCCTGCATATGCCAGATTGGTTGCTTAATTGCAATATTAACATGTGTATACAAAATACAATTTCAATTAGTTAACTAGACAGGTAAAATCAAGATCGTGGTGAAAGTTATAGAAACTTCTATGATAAATTAGTCAAGGATGCAATATCGTACGACTATGAGTATTAATTTTCTGCAAACAGTGAACAATTTTATAACAATTGGTACATTAATTTAAGGAGAGCCAAGCTTTTTCCTTAAAATAAAACTACTTAGCCGCCATTCCCCTTTGTAGACAAATCACAGTCGGACCGGTGTACATAAACTTTTCTCTTTGCAATTTAATGAGCTACTTTGCATGTCAGACTATGATTTGTCGGCACGGAGTATGGCTCTTTATATGTAATAATTATGCGAAGCAGTGTCCTGATTAAAACAGAAGAGAGAGAGAGAGAGAGAGAGAGAGAGTGCGTGTAGTTAGGTACCTCAAACCATAATAATTCACGTCGTATTTGAAAACCTGCTCCAGCTAGTCTGTTCAGCTGACTAACCGGAGCTGATCTTGCAGCTAAATGAAGTAAAGTGCTCCCATCTTCCTTGTCTTTAAAGGTAGCTATCACATTCTTGACAATGCCTACCTCATATATTAAACTAAAGATAGTCTCATGACGATGCCAAACTGCTGCATGTATTATGGTCCATCCTTTTCTATTTCTTTCCCATACCAGACCAGGACACTCGTAAATAAGCTGAGCTACAAACTCGCAATTTCCTATTTCCATTGCGTCAAACAATAGATGCGAAGGACTTGTTAGTACATCAATTAGCTTTTCCTTTCCATGTCTTGCAACTTCAAGCCAGAGTTGTTTGACTAAAGCTTGTTCTGGATTTTTATCTGTAGTAGTAGTGATCGTGAAAGAAAGTCAGTGCTTAATTCCGTGATGAACACAAAATATGGATTTTTTTAACACACACACACACACACACACACACACACACACATATATATATATAGAGAGAGAGAGAGAGATTCAGTTGAGGGATCCCCCAAATAAATACCACTTAGGGTCCCCTACAATTTTTTTTTTCAAGAATCCAAACCGTATGTTTTTTCAAGTCTTTATTCATAGATGATCCTTGCAAAAAATGATGCAAATTGAAAATCATGGCACCTAGTTGGGACTAACAAAATAGATGAACAAAGTGCTTCAAGAAAACACTATAATAACAACTATCTAATTGAGTGGCCAAATAATTTCGGATTCAAATAATTTTTTGTAGAGATGATCTTTTGAGAATATCCAAAAACTAGATGGTTCATATCATTGGAAACACAATACATGATATATATATATATATATATGTGGGGGGGATCCATGGCATGCACTAAGTGTTTGAGACAAGTTTTGACACAATTTTGAGGTCATTAAATTACTCCACTTTCAATGAATGAGATTATACCTAACATGACTTTTTGACATAAAAAAATAAAAGTAATTTTCTCTCTCCTCTCTTTTTTCTAGGAAAGGTAAATTTCTCTCAATAAATCATTTTTCACGTTCTCTATTACCTCTCTCTCATCAAACCCCAAAAAAAAACCATTGCTCTTCGCTGTTTCTTTCTTTCCGTTTATCTCTTCAATTGTTTTGCTTCAGCTGCTCAAACCCTTGTGTCTTGATGTTCTAATGAAATCCTACATATTGGTGAGAAAAGTCCTTTTATTTTTTTTTTTTTTTTTTTTTTTTTTTTTTTGGTTTTTTTTTTTTTTTTATAAAAAAATGCCAAGTTGGGTTACCTTTTAACAAATTTGGATATCATGGTGAAGAAGAATGATACCCAAATAATATTTTGAATTCGCATAAACTTCCTTACTGCTACTATCTGTAAGACTTGAGAAATGGTGGTAAATTGATTCGCATAACTTCAATTTACAAGTTCCTTATTACAAGACTAGGGCGATATTATGTGTTAAGGCTTTTAATTGCTTTGTTCAAAGTTGAAAGTGAAGATTAAAATCCCTAAATCCTAAACCGAAAGATTCAGAAACATTAACAACAATTTGAAACCCATTGATACGAATAACTTCATTTCTAGAGAGGTACCTCTTCTTGTAGTTAAAGAGAATGGAAGAAAGAGAGAAATATCAACAATTTTTTTTTCATCTGATAAAAGAAAGAGTTAGCAGAGAACATGATGGGGAAGAGAAAGAGGAGAGAGAGAAAAAAATACTTTGGGGTGAGAAATTTACAAACCCGAGAAAATAGAGAGAAGAGAGAGAAAAACATTTTAATTTATTTTTTATGTGAAAAATTCATGTTTGATTTAATCTCATCTACTGCAAGTGGAGTAATCTAATTGCCTAACAATTGTGTCAAAAACATAGTGTAACGGATCCGCCCCTATATATATAGTCTCCTTCTATTGAGGGATATATCAAATAATTTTAAATTTTATTTGAGAGACACCCTTTATGGTAACCTATGAATTATTTTTCAACAATCCAAACCTTCTATCTTTCAAGTCTATATTCATAGATCATCTTTGCAAAAAATAAGACAAATTTAAAATTATTAAGGCATCTAATTGAGATTAACAAAATTAATGAACACGATACTTTATATATTGTAAACTCACATCTTTTGAAGCTCGCACATATTCCTGGACTTCCCCGTGGATATGATGAAGGCTTTGGCTTTTGGGCCAATAAATGCAAGGCTGTCTTTCTATTACGATCACGTTTTAAAGCAAAATCTGGATGATCTTCTAGCAATTCTGAGGCTAAACCTGCAAGCACTCATATGCGCATGCCACATTACTTAGAGATATTTTGATGCATATATTTTTAACTGACAATGAATATTATTCAAAATTCTGCCTCATTTTAAATGTTTATAGTGATGGATAACTTTGTTGTGGGTGTTTGCTGTAAAAATCTTTTTCTAAAATATCCTCTAGTTTGTAAAAATAAAAAGTTCAACCTCACTTCAAATGCATATCCATCAGTAATTCATTACCATCTTATATACTATGTAGCCATGTGCAATTTATTTATTATTTTATAAAAAAAATCCACCATTAATATTGTGTACATTTGTGTATGTAATAGATGGGAGATTCAAATTTTGGATCTCGGATGAGAGATTCAAATTTTTAACGTTATTCTAATAAAAAAAATATTTATGAGCATACACACTTCCTATAAAAACAGTCATAGACGAGCACCATTCCTTCTTTTTTTTTCTTTTTTTTTGGGGGGTAACCAGTAAACCTCAATCTTTATTCACCCACTTTTTCATCCACATCCTAATTTTTTCTCCATGGGCGCAAACTCCCTCCAACCGCATATGCATGGCATGTGTCAACCCAAAGATAGTGAGTGTGTCTCTTTGCACTCAAGTTTGAATCACTTAATTCCTTAATTAGATTAATTTAAAATAATTTTAGACTAGTATCGTTTGTATAAAATTGAATTAAAAAAAATACCATTCTAATTAAAAATCCACGCGAGGGACAGAAACGTTGGAACTTACCGTAGAGACCACTATCTATGCTTGTGAAAAATAGCCTGGGCAGATCTTCTTGTGAATCTCTATATGTGGGTTCAGAATATAGATACGACACCATCTTTTGATGTCCAAACAAAGCAGCAATATAGAGTGGCGTATGTCCTTCAAAACCCCGTTGTTTTGGCAGCCCTGGATCCCTTCGCATCATAATTTTAGCAATTTTAACGTTTCCAACGGCAGCAGCTACACAAAAAGCAGTATTTCCTCTTTCGTCTAACAGTCTCAAGTCATTTAACTCCATCCTACCCATCAACTTATCCACAAAGCGAACATGTCCTGCTCCTGCTGCAACATGAAGTGCAGTATACGATCCCTGTGCGATATTGGCACGCACTATAGACGGCTCTTTATCTATGATTTTTTTTGCCGCTTTCCAGTCATTTTTCAGTGCAGCTCTGTACAGGGGTACACATAAATCTGAATTTTCGGCTTCTTCTGTACATAACAAGTTCAAAACACCTTAAAAGTTTATTGTTATCACCTACTGGTATCACTAGACCAAATGGTCACTGACAGTACATTTCAAATATTTTAGCTACTTGTTTCAATAATATAGGCATTCTTCAATAAGTATTTAAAGTTAAGAATTGGTTAAATATTTTTAATTTCAGCAATTGAATTGCATCTAAGAGACTACCAACATTTTTAATGAATGCAATTCAACGACCAAAATTAGAAGTATATAACCAATCCTTAACATAAAATACATATTGGAGAAACTCCGGTAATAATATTTGTACCACATTTATTGACCGCTTTGCTGATTATATGTGGAATCCATCTGTAGTATTAGAGAGGTGGTCAATAGGGTCATAAATATCGTAGAAATAGCAACACTCGTTGTTTTAAATATATTATCCTATTTGGATGAAAGTAGGAATTTTCTATATATTAAACAGCACAAAAAACTCTTTTACATGAGTTCTGGGCTCATGACCTTCACCAACAAAGTGAAAGCCACAAGTATTAGATCAAATAGTGATTAAAATACTAAAATATATTGTGTATTGAAAGTATTTGAAGTCACTAGAACACTTTATTTTGAATGTCTGTTGTTAAAAACAAGTAAATAAATAAATAACTAACTAAAGATTCAAGGGACTTATAATTCAAGAACCTTTTTTAAGTAATGAATACATGATGCCATTGCCAAGATATATTTCTGGAAAAAATAAATAAATAAATAAACTTCTATAGAAGAGGCTTACTTGGTGTGGGACGCTCGTAGGAATCGAATGGATACAAATCCAGTTCGATAGTTGATGGGGTTGATACGGTTGGATTACCATTATTGCTTCCAACATTTGCTGTAGATAGAATCTCATATTCATTATAATATTGTTTTTCAATAATATTAAGCTACGACTATTTTTTAAAAAAAAGATAAAAACGTGCAAATGACCCACTAGTGTAATAGTTTGAAGTAATTGCTCCTCTAGGAAAGGTCATATGTTCAAGTCTTAGCATTCGTATTGTGTGTGATAGTTTAGTATATTATCGTATCTCTCAATAAAAAAGATCATAAATAAATAAAAAGACAAAAACGTTAAATAATATTCCTTTATAATATGAAACAACGAAAATAAGATTTTATGTCCAACCAAAATTCTCTATAAATAATGCTAAAATTAAAATCCTACTAATAGACTCATGAATGCATGTTAGGAAGCTAATTGATAATAATGTAGTAATGAAGAACCATATAACACCATCAAAACTTAATCTAACACATAAGTTTAATCAAAATACCATCTTATTTTATGATGAAAATCTATTCTTGTACAATTAAGAAGTCAATCTTGATATTTTTTAGTTATGAAGAGCATCCACAATGGGCTCTCTAAATCACCTCCTTATCTAAAATTTAGGGAGGAATTGAAAAACCCCACCTCCAACCATGCTCGTTATTCAGTTCCTAAAATAGAGAAACCGCTAGGAGCTCCTAAATATGAGGAGAGAAAAATGACTCCTAGTGACTCTTTATTAATTTAAATGTTATTATTATTTTATTTTATTATTTTAATGCATTTATTTAATTATTTCTTTATTTTTTTTTTTTTTTTTTTTTTTTTTTTTATATTGTTGCAAAACACAAACACTATATATTTTTCAATTCTTTTCGCTGTAGGTGTTTTGCAAAGCATGAGCACTTATCTTTTTTTTTCGCTATAGATATTTTGCAACACACAAACACCTTTTTAAAAAAATTCTTTTCCTTGTAGGTATTTTGCAAAAAACAAACACTTTAAAAATATATATATTCTTTTCACATGATTTCTTATTTTGACAGCATATTCTTTCAAAGCAGAAAACCATAGAATATCAAAATTGAATAACAATTAAACTTACAATTATTTGGAAATATTCATTATTTGAATATAAAATGTTATTGTAAAATGAAGAATTAAGTTTAAAAAGGGGTAAAGCATTAATGACAATTAGAAGTAAAGCATTTATGACTCCAAATTAGGGAGTATGATTGGAGTTGAATTTTTTTATAGAGCTCCTAAAATAGCTTTTTTGTGTTTTTAACTAAATTTTAGCTAAGAAATAAGAAGCATGATTGTGGATGCTTTTAGATGATCAAGTCAAATAAAGGGAGTTTCACTAAAACACCCAAAATGAGGGTTGAAATTATAAAAAAACCCAAGCACTATTTAAACATATAAACACACCCAAAACCCATCATTACACACACTCAAAACCCATTTATAACACACCCAAAAAGTTGACTTTGGGGTTGATTTTGGGTGTGTTTCTATGTTTAAATAGTGCTTGGGTTTTTTTTATAAATACATGTCTAGGATTTGGTTTATTTATAATTTGTAATAAATTTATGGTTTTTTTTTTTGGTTACTTTTTTTTAATTGGAGCAGAGGGTTGTATAAAATAGAAGCATCATAAAATAGTACAAAAGATAGTAAAACTATCTTAAACTCAAATATGAGAGACAGAGACAATAGCATAATCTTTATAAATAAATAAAAAATGAAAAAGGCTTACCAAGTGTTTGGCGACGAGAGGAAGGAAACTGCAAAAAGTCCCATGGGATATTAAATTCGGTTGGTCCTGTTGTTGCAGATGGAATCCGAGATTCATTATTGGAAAAAAAATATTATTTAGAAAAAAAATTGGAAATAAAACTACGTCATTTTAATAAATATGTTAAATGATATTATATTATAAAAATTTAAAAAAAAACCAAACGGAAGTAAGATTTGATGTGCAACTAAAATTCTTTTGAAACCTCAACTTCCTTCACTTTATAAATAAAAATAAAATATACAAAAATAAAAATAAAAAATAAAAACCTAGTGACAAGTGCATGTTACAGGGGTCATAATTTGGCCCATGGGCTCATCGACTAACGGTTGCCTGCCCAGCCCATCAAAGAAAAGCTCGGCCCAGCTTGTTGTGGGCTATGGACCGACCCCACACGTTCTTTAGACTAAGGTGTTTAAAGCATAGCCCAACCCATAAGCCCAGCCCATTTGAGCTCAAAAAACACCCAACCCAGCTTACCTATAAAAGCCTAGCCCGCAAAGCCCGTATACAATGACACTTTAAGTTTAATATTAAAAAAATAGGCTTAATTGCTACAGTGCACCATGAAACATTGGTCAAATCCCACTTTAACCCTTAAAATTAAAGTGACCCAATTTGCCCTTTGACCAAGGTTTGATGTTCTACATTGCCTCCTACCATCAACTTCATCCAAAAATCCGTTAAATTTGATGATGTGGTAAGGGTGTTTCTGTAATTTTATGCACCTAGGTCATTTACTCACCAATTTGAGTGGGTGATGTGGCAAAGTGGAGCCCACCTCCCGTATGCATTAAAAAAATAAAAGAACATTATTTACTTAAAAAAATTAAAATTTAAACATAAAATTTACAAACTTAAAAAAATTGAATTCTCTCTCTCTCTCTCTCTCTCTCTCTCTCTCTCATTACCCTGGCTCTGTCCAAAACCGCAACCCTTTCTTCTTCTTCTTCTTCAACATTATGAGACTTTGTAACTCACTCTCTCACACATCTCCATGGCCAACCCAACTTAAACTTTAACCCAACCCCAATTGCTCCAAACCATAATCAGCCTCTTAACCGATGCCAACCCCTTAAACCTTACATTCCTTACCTCAAGCAGCCCTTCCTCCTTTCCATTCTCAACTCCAAAACCCTAGCAAACAAGCCCAGTGCTCTCCTTTCATTCTTCCAATAGACCTAGGCCCACGCTCCTTCCTTAACCTAAATCCCTCATCCTCTCCTCCAACCTCTCCTCGGTGAAGGAGTTTACTGCACGTTTGTTTACTGCACGTTTCTGTTAGAATAATGTCCTAGTATTTAGGGACATCTACTTGTATTTGAATTCCAAGTTTCTGTTACCACTTAGCTTTATTTCCGCTAAGTGGGCTGCTTTCTCGTTTCTGTTAAGATCGTGTATTGAATGGCTATTTAAGCCCAAGTTATTATTAATAAAACTAAGTCATTCAATCCAGCTTGTTGTGTTCTTGTTCTTGGTTTCTTTTAGGTCAAAGTTCCCAACATTCTGGTATCAAAGCCCCCACTGGGCCTGAAAAATAATCAAAGCAGCAGTCTTTGAAGTTCTTGCAGCAGCACAGAAGATGACTACAGAAGGGAGTTTTATACAGCCAGCCATTCCTCGCTTTGATGGTCACTATGACCATTGGAGCATGCTAATGGAAAATTTTCTACGATCTAAGGAATTTTGGGGTCTGGTGGAGCCTGGCTATATTGAGCCAGCAAGTGACTCTGTGCAGACAGATGCACAACGAAAGAAGAATGATGATTTGAAGCTGAAGGACCTGAAAGTGAAGAACTATCTCTTCCAGGCGATCGACCGGACCGTTCTTGACACCATTCTTAAGAAGGATACTGCCAAAGATATATGGGACGCCATGAAGAAAAAATTCGAAGGAAATGCAAGGGTCAAGAGGTCTCATCTTCAAGCTCTCCGCAGAGAATTTGAAACTCTTGAGATGAGGACTGGTGAAGGAGTGACAGAGTACTTCTCTAGGGTCATGACAGTAGCCAACAAGATGCGAATTTATGGAGAAAATATGCAGGATGTTAAAGTGGTGGAGAAAATTCTACGCTCTTTAACTGAGAAGTTCAACTATGTTGTATGTTCTATTGAGGAGTCAAAGGACATTGATGCTCTTACTGTTGATGAGTTACAAAGCTCATTAATAGTGCATGAACAAAAGTTTCAGAGACATAAGGGTGAGGAACAGGCTTTGAAAGTGACATCTGAAGGAGGAAGAGGTCGTGGTCGTGGTACCTACAGAGGAAGAGGAAGAGGGAGAGGTCGAGCAGATTTCAACAAGGCAACTGTGGAGTGTTACCGATGTCATCAACTTGGGCATTTTCAGTATGAATGTCCTTCTGGGAACAAAGAAGCAAATTATGCAGAGCTTGATGAGGAAGAAGAAATGCTTTTGATGTCTTATGTGGAGTTGTATAAGGCCAGAAGAGAAGATGCTTGGTTTCTCGATTCAGGGTGTTCTAATCACATGTGCGGCGACCGAACTATGTTTAATGAACTCGATGAAAATTTTCGACATTCGGTAAAATTGGGGAACAACACTAAGCTGGACGTGACAGGAAAAGGAAGTGTGAAGCTGCTGCTAAATGGAGTCAATCATGTTGTTACTGAGGTGTACTATATTCCAGAGTTGAGAAATAATCTCTTGAGCATAGGGCAGTTGCAAGAAAGAGGCTTGGCTATTTTGATCAAGGGAGGGATGTGCAAGATATTTCATCCAGAGAAGGGTTTGATAATTCAAACCAACATGTGTGCCAATCGGATGTTTATTTTGCTGCCTCAGTCTCAAGCTCCCTCTCAAG